GGTCCGCGCCCCGCTGCGCGCCCGCTCTGCGCGCGATAGCCGAGCGCCCGGACCGCCTGGCCGGCTCGTCCCCGCGGGCGGGACCAAGAGGGGCGGGAAGCGGGGAGGGACCAGGCGACGGCGCCGCCCTCCCGGGAGCGCGGGCCTCGGGTCGCCCGGACCCGTCGCCTCCTCCTGGCTCTGCCGGGGGACCCCAAGACCCTTGAAGCTTCCGTGTCCGCGTCTGTAAGATGGGGCGGCAGAGCTCCTCGCGGCGCCGTGCGCCCTGAGCCAGGGAGATAGCTCAGTAGGATAAGCGCTTCTCTGGCAAGCGCAAGGCCCAGAGTTCAATCCCCAGTCCCGCCCTTCTGGTTGTGAGATTAAAAGGCAAGTGAAATCGGGCTGACGATATTCTCCTGCACTCGGGAGACTGACGCAGGAGGATCTCGACGCGTTCCAGGCCAGCCTGAGCTGCACAGCGAGGCCCTGACTCCAAGGAACAGAAAAGGCGCTACACGGAGCTGTACCAGCAGTTCAGCTTCTGCAGGCTGGCAGAGTGCGGAGACTGTTCCTTGGTCTGTTGACCCTGGAAGTGCGCGTGCCGCAGGCTCTCTGCGGTGAGGGCTCCTTGGAGCGGCCTCCCTCCCTTCCCCAGGGATAATAAGTAAATCAAGGGAGAAAAACCACACACGCTTATTAATACTTGCTAGAGAAAGCATTTGATTGCATTCCCAGGAAAATTCTAAAGAACAATAGAAATACAAGCAAATACTTAAATTTAAACATTAAAGCAGTCTTACTGCAGTAAAAGACATACTGAGCTTAAGGCCCCTTTGCTTCAGACACTTATCCCACCATCCTTGTGAGTTCTGAAGCAGTTCTGGCGTCCTCTTTCATGAGTGTCTTTACAAGTTGGGTGAATTCACTAGGTGTGAGGGTGCATTTCTGTAGCCCCAGCACTTGGGGGGCTGAGGCAGGAGATGTTCCATGAGTTCAAAGCCAGCCTGTCCTATATAGTGAGTTCAAGGCTGACTGAACTACATTGTGAAACCTTATCTCAAATGAATGAATGAATGAATGAATGAATGAATGAATGAATGCATGCATGCATGCTTCGGTGAAGTTCTAACAACCTTTCCACTGATATGAGGGACAAACTGGGGAGATGAGATCCAGGAAAATTTGGAGAAACAGTGTTAGCTGTAGTGGAGTGGTTCACTAGTGGCCATTTAAATGTCATGGCCAGGAAAGACCACAGAATAGATCTGGGCATTGATGAGAGACCCTACGGATCGATTCGAGTGGAGCTGGCGTGTGAAGCCATCATCACTGGTATCCTGGAAATTCTAGCTAATGCAATAAGACAAGAAAAATGAGACGAAGATTTTACCTTCAGTTTCTCTGAAGACACATCTGTAAAATCTGAGAGAGTCTGTTAAGGAATTGCACTTACCCAAGTGACTGCACGCAGGACAGAGTGCAAAGCCCCAGGCCAGCATTGATTACAGGAATGCAGCAAAGGACGCCACTCACGGCAGTGACACAAGTGACAAAGTCCCTGATAATGAAGGCCGCACAAAACGTACACGGCCTGCATGAAGAGTATGATAAGAACTTGCTGATGATGAGACACTCAGGAAAGAGGCCAGCAGCTCCGTTAACAATTTCCAAGTCAGAGTAGTAAGTACTGAATTAATTATTTTATGTGTTTGGTACAGGGTCTCATTACACAGCTCTGACTCGTAGTGGTCCTCCTGCTCTCAGCCTCCCCAGTGCTGGGATAACAGCTGGGCACCACCACACCTCGTCTTGGTGGCCGGCTCCGTGCAGCTGGGGCAGGGCCCGCACGGCCTGTGGCACTGGAATCAAACCCCAGTCCCTGTGCTGGCCTAAGCAGGCACTTAGTCTGCTGAGCTATCTCGCCGGCCCTTACAGTATTAATTTAATGTAATTCCAGGTTATGTCGTGCTGGTGTTGGGAAGGCTTCTTCATTCAAGTTTTCTTTTTTGGTCAAGAACAGGATGCCATTGACTGTCGGTGCCCACCCAGGGACGCTTACCTGGGCCCTGCTCCTTCCAAAGCCAGTTCATCCACTAAACACAGGATGCCCAAAGTACTTTTAGGTGCTCACAAAATGACGTATTTTACTTTATTTTATTGGGGGGTTTTGTCTGTTTATTTATTTATTTTTGTATTATAGGGAAGGGCCTACAGGGTGTTCAGGGTCTTACTACTAGATCAGACTCATAGTGATTCTCCTGTTTTACAGCCTCCCAAGAGCTGGGATTACAGGCGTGCACCACCATGCCCAGTCTCGATCGAACCCCCAGCCATTGCGCCTGCTTGCAGACTCTTTAATCCACTGAGCTATTTGGCCAGCCCTGTTGTTTGTTTGTTTTGAAACAGGGTTTTGCTATGTAGTCAGGCTTGACTTGAACTCATTGTGTAGCCCAAACTGGCTTGAAACTCACAACAATCCTGCCTCAACCTCCCAAATGCTGGGATTGTAGGTGTGGACTACCACTCCTAGCTCCATTTATTTTTTATTTTTATTTTATTTTTTTGCAGTACTGTGGATTGAACTCAGGACCCTGCGCTTGCCAGGCAAGCACTTACTCTACTGAGCTACCTCCCCAGCCCTCCAATTTATTTTTATTTATTTATTTTTTGCAGAACCAGAAATTGAATTCAGGCCCTTGCACTTGCCAGGGAAGCACTTACTCTACTGAGCTATCTCCCCAGCCCTCCAATTTATTTTTATTTATTTATTTTTTGCAGAACCAGAAATTGAATTTAGGCCCTTGCACTTGCCAGGGAAGCACTTACTCTACTGAGCTACCTCCCCAGCCCTCCAATTTATTTATTTATTTATTTATTTATTTATTTATTTATTTATTTTTTATTTATCTATTTATTTTGTGTCTGTGTGTGGCCAGTTCAGCCCACCAGGGGGCGGGGCTGGCTGGCATGTGGTGCTGGGGGATTGAACCGCAGTCCCTGTGCCCTGCTTTGCTTAGCTTGTTCTAAGTAGGTGCTTTAGACCACTGAGCCATCTCACCAGCCCCCCTCCAATTTATTTTTAAAGTAAATAGAAAGTGAACTTTTAGATAAAAAATGTTTTAATATATATTCATGTTTGTCTTGGTATCAATGCAGCTATCAGACACAATTAAAAAAAATTCTTAATTATGGCAAAATCCACACAACATAAAACTGACAGTTGAGTGCACGTTGCAATTGCTCCTCTGCAGTGTTGGGTACACTGCCCCCCTCCCCGTGTCCACGTATCACAACCATCTTTCTCCAGAACCTTTTGATCTTGCAAGACTAAGACTCTGCACACAGTAAACAACAGCTCTCTGTACCGTTCTTCCCGGGTAAACATGAGTTTCACTATTCATTATTAATGCAGAGAAAGGAGCTGGGGAGATGGCTCAGTGGAATAAGTGCTTCCCTGTTAGGGAGGGCCTGAGTTCAATTCCTGGTTATGCACAAAGAGAAAAAAAGAAAGAAAGAAAGAAAGAAAGAAAGAAAGAAAGAAAGAAAGAAAGAAAGAAAGAAAGAAAGAAAACATTAATATAGACAAAAATGCCTTGTACTCAGTAGAGTCAGAAATTGTCCATGCTAGCAGTGGCTGGTATCACTGACCCCTAGGTGTCATGTGACCATCCCTAGCACCCAGGACAACTATCTAGCTGTCACCGGCAGGGAACCTGGCTGAGTGCAGGTGGCGGGAGGTACTGAGAGCAGGCAATGGTGATTGTAGGAACAGTGGAATTCACCGGCTCTTAGCGTCACTGACAATTTAAAGAGAAAGAAATGGCCAGTTCTAGAGATCTGTCACCAGCCCAAAGTAAAATTCGGAGCCCTGGATACCTTGCAACAACTGATCCAGAACCCCTCAAACTTGGGGGCCACAGGGACACTGGCCTGGCACCCAGATGCAGGATCTGATGGGAGGATGCACCGGCGTGGCCTGCTCGTCCTCAGAATGGGGCCTAACAGTACTAAGCGTCCCAGTGTGGAGGGGGCTCCTGAGGCTTGGGGGCTATCTGGACAGGTACTCTCCCAACTGTGGGTCTCCCCGTTCCGTGTGTGCTGCAGAAAGGCCCGCCCTTGTCTAGAGCCTGATGCCCGCCCACCCCAGTGCTGAGGGCTGCAGAGACATTCAAAGGCGGCCCTTGCCCTCCTGGGGAGCTGACTCCACCTGCCCTCTTGCCCAGTGGTCTCATTCAGCCTTGTCTCTTCTGCTGGACCTGCTATGGAAGGAGCAGGACTACACCCCGCAGGAGTCTGGGTAGCTGGGTACGGTGGCCACGCCTGTGATCCCAGCACTCTGGGAGGCTGAGACAGGAGGATTGCAAGTTCACACCCAGCCTGGTCAAGGGCTGACTCGGGAAGGGCTTTAGGAGCAGCAGGTTTAGGAGAAAGCCTGAGCTTGGCTCACAGGCAAGGTCCCTCGGTGTGGAACTCCGGGACCAAATCGTCCCTCCTGGTGGCCCGAGGATGGAGATCCGGGTGGGGAGAAGGGTGGGTGGGGACGTGTGCACCATGTACAGGGGTGTGAGACTAAAAGCTTCCAACCGGCAGCAGGACACGTGGACCAGCGCTACTCTGCCGGAGCTGGGGATGTGGTGGGGCCAATGTCCTTCCTCTCCGGCTCCAGGGCATGAAGGACCCGCATACCTGGCCACCCTAATAATTCCCAATTAAAGGCTCTGCTTGAACAAATTAATGGGTCAGCTTCTGGTCCAGCAGACGAAGCTTTTATTGATTCACTTCCCCGAGCAGGAGAGAGGGTCCATGCTGTGCGACTCAGGCCAGCAGCCGCAGGGTGTTTC